TTTAAATAAAATAAATTTTTAAAAATAAAATTTTATACATTGTTAAAAGTGAGATAATATTTTGGAAGAAAGAATAAGAAAAGTGTACATTAAAAATAGTGATACTATTCAAAAATCACGCCATGTATGTTTGAATATAGAGCCAGGCCCACAGCTCTTCAACCACCGGAGTTTTTTTGCAAATTATTTTACACCGTTAATTCAATAATAAATGTATTATAATTCCTTCAAAAAAAGGTGTTACTCCGTATAATGTTGTGCCACATAAAATTATTACTACTACTAAAAATTGTATCGGAAATTAATATAAAAATGATATAATTAGATTTATGTTGTAAAAAATAGTCAAAAATTTATTTTAAAATAGCACCTCTTTCTCAAATTAAATGACTTGTATATTATTCACATTGTCATTTTTTAAAATTTTCTTTACCTATTTATGTTAGTCATTACATATTACATATTATATATATATATATATACACACACACACATATACATAAAATTCTACCAAAATTATATTATATATTGAATGTAAATTTAATGTTCTTACTAATTAAAATTCGTACAACTTGATTTAAAAAGTCAAAGTAGACGAATATTATAGTACAGATTAAGTGAGAAAAATGAAATTATGTTTTTCAAATTTATAATAAGTATAAACACCAAAAAAACTTATATTTAGATTTTAAATTCAGATTTAACCAATATTTAATGTTTAGAATCCAGATACTCGTAACATTTTAAAACTACTCTTTGATTTTAATTTCTAAATTGTAAATTTTTTAGTTTCAAATTACATGAGAAGATATATGAATTTCTAATTAAAATTTGCTATGAATTAGAGGAACTTGCCTCAATCCAAAAGTCATAATTTTTTACTCGTAACATTTTAAAACTAGTCTTTCATTTTAATTCCAAAATTTTAAATTTTTTTAATTTCAAATTACATGAGAAGATATATGAATTTTCAATTAAGATTTGTTATGAATTAGAGGAGTTGATCTCTTTCCAAAAGTATAATTTTTTTAAATTTCCAAGCATGAAATTTGAATCAAATCCATATTTAAATTCAAAATACAAGTCCTAAACATGTCAGTGAAATTTGGGCCAAATTCTTATAATTCACTACAACACTCAATTATAAATTCATACAATCTCAGAAATCTAAGAATTCAAATTATAGAATTAAAATCTAAGAGTTTCAAAAAAAAAAAAAGAGTTTCATCTTTTACTCATTTCCCTTTACACTATGTTTGGCTCAAAGAATTTGAAAGAGAAAGAAAAAGAAAATAAGAGAAAAAATTATTTTTCATGTTTGGTTAGAAAGGAAAAAGGAAATGATAATGTAAAATATACTAACACTATGTTTGGTTAATGGAATTTGAGAGGGAAAGGAAATGAGAAAGAAAACATTTTTCTTGTTTGGTTAGACAAAAAAAAGGAAAGTGGAAAGAAAATGAACATGAGAAGCAAAAAGTACTAAGAGCATGAACAATGGCAAGACATATTCAGAAATGTCACACGCTGACGTGTCACAGTTCAACCAATCAAAAACAGTCTTGTCATGCCAGTGGAGTGGCATGCTCTACAATGACAAGTCATAATTTTTCTCAATGTTTACATTTTTTGACATATTTTAATTAGTCCAAGTATATTTATTTTTATTTTTTTTGTAATTATATATAATTTAATTATTCAAAATTATTTTAATTATCAATTTAAATTGTGTAGTCTTGGATATAATGTTAATTTAAAAATATATATTTTTAGCTTTAGAACCAAGGGTTACGTTATTAGATTTTTAAAAAGGGAGTTTAATTTTTATTTGTTATTTTTTTGAAGAAATAGGGTTTTATTTTTAGATACAAAAAAAGATGGAAAAGAAACAAATGCAAGACTGAAAGTGAGGCAAAAAATAGATGTACTCTAAATAATTCTTCTTTCTTGTAAGAAAAAAACATTTTTTTTAAATCCAAACTAAAAAATTTAAAAAACAATATGGAAGTTTCACCTTTTGTAACTTTTTATATTTTTTAGATATTTATTACTCCGTATTATAAATTAGTTTTCATATATTTGTATCATAAAAATATATCTATAAAAATAACTAAATAAGAAGTACTCCGTATTTCTTCTTTTTTTCCAAAAGAAAAAAAAGAAAAGGAATTGGAGCAAGTATATGCCTCGCACATGCCACGGAAAGGGGAGTTACCCCTTCATGCCTCACCCAAATCAACCGTGTCAAATCCTATGTGGCATGCGTGGCAGTGGCTTTGACACGCCACTGCCCATACTCTAAGGGGAGGTAAAACCAAATTTCTCTCATTTTGGTGAGAAAATTGAGGGAAAACTATTTTCTTTTTTTTCCTTTCGAATACTCGAACCAAACATAGTGTAAGGGAAAGTAAAATCAAAATCCTCCCATTTTGGAAAGGAAAGGGAGAGGACCATTTTCTTTTCTTTTCCTTCAAAATTCCTTGAAGGCCTTGAATGGAACATTTTCACCATTAACCTTTATATTCATTTGTAAATCTATACTTTGTATTATATATTACGATGTTTGAATAAAGTTACTTTCAGCTCGATTTATATGAGAATTGGGGTTGAATTAAAAATTAAAATTTATATATTTAAAAACTAAATCAAAAGTTCCTACAAATCATGTGGTGACATAGCCATATATTTTTTATCAAATGATTAACAAAATTGATAAAAAGAATTAATAAAGTTAGACATTGAAAATCACAAACAAAATATTTTAGTTGGGAGAGAAGAATATTTTAGAACAACGTTTCAAAATACTATTAAATTTATATCATGCGTTCAAAAAAATTTATATCATAGCACAACATTACTTTTTTTGATATATTATAGTCAAAGTATAAAAATACTACGAAGTAAAAAAAATGTCAAATGAGAGAAAATTCGAACGGAGTAAAGGGTGTTTAAGACACAAGTAGAACTTAACAGTATATTTTAGAACATGCAAATTGTGTGTAGTGAATATCTTATACTTTGTGGCCTTATTAAGTACTCTCTCCGTCCCATAAAGTGTTACCCATTTTGACTAAAGTTGAAATTAAGGGAGAGATAATTTTGTGTTGACTTTCCAAAAATACCCTTGATGTGATGGGTAAAAGTAGGATGTGATGTGTAGAAAAAAGGTATGATGTGATAGGTAGGGTTTGAAAAAATAAGGGGTAAAAGTGGTTTTTTAATAGAAATGGGTAAGGGATTGTGAGACACAATTTTTTTGAAACGTGTAAATCTTTTTGGGACGGAGGGAGTATATGACATTAGATAAGAACTTCTGCAAAACTACGTTAAAATAGTCAGGTAGGCGCTCTAGACTTAATGGTAGTTTCTCCCTTTCTTGAGTGCTTTGTTTTTTTGTATGTTTGGTGCTCTTTGTTTGCCGTGTTTTTGTTTTGTTTAATTAGTTTGTTCTTGACTTCTGTTTGCTTTTTGCTATCTCTGATATATACTTCGTCGTGTGTGACCTTATTTTATCTATGTTGTTTGGTAAAAGGAAGATCTGCGTGCACACACTCTCTCCAGAATCTACTCTCGTAAGACCTAACTGGATTATTGTTGTTGCAAATTGTGTCTAGTCGTGTTGAACTTAGTATCGTCGTAAGCACGGAAAGAGGGAGGAAGGTCGAGATCAATGATTTGGTCCTCCTCCATTAATGGATGGTGAAGTTTTTATGAGTACAATGAATGCTCTCATTTATGGTCTATTCACAGGTTTCAAGTGCAATAGGGTTTCTAAATGTGGATGGAGGAACTTGGCAATCCTATAAAAAAAAGATTTTGAAAATTTTTGGAGACTACTTTTGAGTCTATACTCCAAAATTGGAGTCCATAAATAATAAAGTGCTATCTAGTGGAGTACTGTTCAGTGTTCCCATTCTAACTCTTACACACCCCACTTCATTTACTCATTTGTTTAACCATGAGTCCCTATGGATATACCTCACTTCCCATAATTCAATTCATGCTGAGATTATAGTCTCTTTACCTTCTTTCAAGAAATCTGGAGAGAAAGAAAAGAAAATAATTTTCTCTCATTTTTCTCACCAAAATGGGAAGAATTTGGTTTTCCTTTCACTTGGTACGTTTTGCCTTCTTATTTTCTTTTGCCTCATCTTTCCCTTTCTTTTCCCTCTAATGAAACAAGAAAAATTGTTTTCCAATTTATTTTCTTTTCTTTCTCTTTCAAATTCCTTAAACCAAACATAGTGTAAAACAAATAGTAACATGATTATAAACTATAAAAGGAGTTTTTAAAAGAGAATAATCTAAGAAAGAAGTACTTCGATCAATGAATCATAACTCATACTCCGTGAAAGTAAAATAGGAATGATATAGCAAAAGTAAATGCATCTTTTTTTTTATCAATGCAAAATGCATCTTAATACGCCCTCCATGTATAAAATTTTTGTGTGAATTTAGTTTTCCACTCATGTTTGTTTGTGCGAGATTAGTTGGCCACTATCCATATTCAATAAAGAAGTTATGACAAATTGTCCAAACTATGGACATGGAGGGTAGGGGTGCATACAAATCAAATAAAATGTATTCGATTCGTGATTCGTATTCGAAAAAGATGATTCGTATTCGCTATATTCGAATTCGAATCCGAATACAAATCATATTTTAGATTCGAATTATGTTCGAATACAAATATTAATAGATTCGATTCGTTTATTATTCAAATTATTCAAATATTATAATTTATAAATAAATTTATATATATTCTAATATATTAAATATTTGTGTACATATAAATTTATATATATTCGAATATTATAATTTATAAATAAATTTATATATATTCTAACATATTTTTACTACATTTTAATTTTTACTACATTTTACATTATTATAAAATAATAATTTAATGTCTTTAAGAAATTTGTTTTAAGAAAGAAATTACTAATATTTTCGAATTCGAATATTTGAATACGAATTCAAATATGTCAAATATCTATCGAATCGAATACGAATGTTTTTTAAAATTCGAATTATATACGAATCCAAATTCGAATACATATCACTTTAATCGAATACGAATCGAATAGTGCTATATTTGCTTCAATTCGATTCGTATACACCCCTAATGGAGGGTGTATGTAAAAACCAAAAAAAAAAGTTTGACCAATTAACAGTAAATAAAACCAAGCCACACATACATGCATATCCCTATCAGAAACAGGGTGCAGGGAAGGTAAATGTACACAGACCTTACCTTTGCTCCAACGGGTAGAGAGTCGGTATTCGATAGTGATTGCTAGCTCCGTATGTGCAAAGATTTGGTTGCCTGGGAGGCTAGAGCCAGCGCCTTCGCATTTGTGCTCATCATCACCCATTCCCTCTCAGCCCGGTGTTGCCTTTGCCGGGCATTCTTTGCCCGCTTTGGCGCTAGCCGGTTGTCTCTTTCCAAGTATGCAAGTCTGAATTTCTCAGCAATGGGCAGTTCATCGGGCTGGCTTGGAACCAATGTGAAAGAAGTCCTTGGGGACAGTTCCCAAGTTTTTGGTTCAATATCTTCAACTACCTGATCATCCAATGACACATCGGGTAATGCTTCACGAGGAACTTCAAGCCCCCTGAAAGTAAAAAGGGTGTTCTTTGGGTTCACTATGATGCGAGGGCATTCAACTTGCAGATGCTCCATGGAATCATTCCCAATCTTTGGCTGTAGGTATACAAATATTGCTCTGTAAAATTTATGAAATAGACCTAAGAACATATTTGAAGGGGCTTTAATTTTGGAGTTGCATTTTTAGTTGTTGTGATTTCTACCTTTGTATGGGCTTTGGAGTTTGTAAATGGAGTAGTTCGTACGGTGCAAAAAATATATATATATTTGAAGGAAGAGTAATTCTTTGCTATTATGGTAGGCTATTTTTGCCACATTACCAATATTTTTCACCAAACATCAACTTATCTACAGTGCATCTCAGCTGGTATTGAAGAAACAAACAAATATTATTTCTTTTCTTTTTTTGTTGCTGAGATGGACAAACATGATAAAAATGGCAAGTCAGTCTCCATTTTTAGATTACTTTTTTTCTTTTTTGAAGGCTCCATTTTTAGATTTCTTTTCTTCAATTTCAGCCACGGATTGAGCAAGTTCAACCACTTGAGCCATTTTGAGTCAACAAACAGGCTCTCAGTTTCAAAGAACATGTCATACAGACAGACAGTGATACAGACTTGCAGATTCAAAGAAGTCGTACTACCTCAGTCCCAAAAAGCATTACCTAATTTGATTTTCACGAGGTTTATTAAGAATATGTTGAAAAGTGAAAGGTGTATGTTTGAAATTTATGAGAGAAACCTTGTGAGCCAAATGTTCATTACTTTAAAAGAAAAATAAAATATACGAAAAGTGTTTTGACTTTTGAGACATCCAAAAAGGGAACGCAGGCAGTGTTTTTAAAGGGACAGGAGTAATAACTAAGAATGAATCGAAAGCAGCATTCTTACCCACACTAGCCATCGCAATAAATGTGCACCGTGAGCTAACTCTGAAGCGTCAACCTCCTCCCAAGACTCTCCCTCTACATCTTTGAGGCTTGGTTTCAGCATACACAAGCATCGGCGTGCAGTGTCCTCACTCCTTGAGCACCCTCTGAAACATTAACGTTGGTGGAATCCTGTTATGTGATTTTTCACTATATTCAAATGTCTATCACATTCCTATGGCTTGACAGGTATAATAGCACAACACTTGCCTATGTCTGGATCCTGGAACTTAAAAATGGCAGGGAAAAGAAAATGGCCCTCCATTAAGGAAATGGTTTTTTCCTAATACTTTGTTTTACCATGAAAATATAAATGAGAATCAATTTAGATGAAAACTTTTAAAAATAATATATATAGTTGGACTTCATACAACATGTTATAATAGAAATGTTAAAAAAAGGTGATTAACACAAACATGAAATTGATCTATGGTGTTTGATTTTTTTATACTTTCCCTAGTCCCTACCCATTTTCTCTCATTCCAAATTTCCTCCAAAATTTTGTCTCATAGCATTCTTTCGGTTCCCAGTGGAAACTTACAGTTCTAAACAAAACAAATATGAGAGAAGGCATGGGAGCATTGATACCTAAAAGTATAAATTATTACCCAAGAAAATTGAAGAGTTGTGAATAGCCCAAAAAGAGCATGTCAGAATGTCCCTATTTTCCACCTTTGTCAATTTAAATTTCATTATTTCACACCACATAAGAAATTAAAATACTGGTTGGACAAAAAAACAGGCTTTTAAGACTTCAAGAATGAAATCTTAATAGCAACTACAAAAGGTAATGCATACCCCCATCTCAATATTTCCAGAGACTGACTATGATGCAAGAGTTCAGAAACACCAGTCCATGTGACTTTGCTGCACCAACTGCACATCACATTTCAAAACCAGCCTCAGCATTTGCTTAATCTAGTGTCATATCCACACAATTGAGAAAAGAATATTGCCAAATGCAGCTTGGAGTTGTACAAACTAAAATTTTATAAAACATGTGTGGATGGAGAAAATAACACTAAATTGTTCGCAGAACAGTGCGGGTGGATAACATTGAAACTTAAAACTTGAGAGAGCAAATGTGTGGTAAACATTACTAATAATGTCACTATGTGAAGTGTGTAATATGAGTGCACAATCTAATAAAGAATGTTAGTTGCAGAGGAACGAATTTACAAACCCAAACGAAGAAGACGATGCTGATTAAAACACAGTACGAGATACTTTAATACCTTATATCTACTGCTTTTAGATATTTGCAAGTCTTTACCACTTCCGAGAGGCCAAAATCAGAAACATCAGATCCAGATATATCGAGGATTTCCCATGAACTATCAGCTAATGCCAGGATGACATCATCATCCAACAACTTCCTCCTCCTTGCAACTGCTGCAAGTGCTATCTGTATAAAGAAAACTTATCACTTGATCTAGAAATACAGAGCAGTACAACATTGAGACTTCATGGGAAGTCTTTACCAGATTTTATACATGTACTGGAAACTTATATCTGATATTGTTCATGAATTTATCATGAATGAACATCCTTAATTCCTAGCAATATAACAACACAAATCCCAATTTCACTTCCAAAACACCTAAATATTTAATCAATCGCCCACAAATATCACAAAAGCTGAGAATTAATGTTAAAAGCTTGCATCCAAAAGGAGAGACGCGAGAAACAAAACCTTAATACTAGGGGGAAAACTAGAAGCAATTTCAGTCAAATCCTCGATGATATCGTCAAAATGCCTTCCGATGAATCCAATACACAAACTCACTAAGCTCGGAATCTGTGTCTTCTTCCTCGATGGAGTCGATGATATCGGCAACACTGTCACCCATCCCAAACCAGTAGTTAATTTTCCAAAATCAAACACTATTCAACAACAAAAAATCAGAAAAGCTCGTGAATTTCATGCGAACCGAAATAATTCAAGCATAAAAAAATCATATGATTAGAAGAGAAAGAGAGGCGCACACGAAGATTGGGAGGGCTTTCGAGCAGGCTTTATTGCATTCACAGCCTTTTGAGGTTTTCCTTTTTCCATGGAATGGGAGAGAAGAAGAAGATGGTGGTAGATTCAAGTTTCTGCAACTGTTTGCGGATCGTCTTCCTCGAGTCGCCGGAGGACACAAATTCCAGTTCTCTCCCACCCAACTGGCCCATTTGGAAGGGAGGTTCTGGTTCAGCCCACTTCCCGTCCTAATTGGGCCGTCAAGGAGATTACCATCCATCTCGAATGCACATTGGTCCACTCTCTCCAAAACATTTTATTTATTTATTTTTGTCGTTACGATTCATTTATTAAAATCATATCATTTTATCCGGGAGCGTAGCTTAGATGGTAATAGGGGGTGAAAAAGAGTGTTATGATTGAGCTTGACTCCCGGGCCCTATCATACGTAATGTGAGATGCTCTATGCTTTATACTAAGAGTCTTGATTGGACTAAAATCGAGCTTATTCACTCTTGCTCACTTGAACGAATGTTGGTCCACTTTTTCGGAAACATTATTTCGGAGTAATAAAACATAGCTAAAATACATAAGAGTGTATGACTATTTGATAGAAAAAAGATGACAGTGTAATATGAAAGTGCGATCAGTCAATTACCGATGGACCACCAGTCAACGTCGATAGCGGCGATGTATGGCTGTGCTATAATTACAATCCGACAATATTGCGAGTGTGACGGTGTAAAAATGAAAATATAAACTTTTATTTTGATATCAATATACTTAAGATTCTTATTTGGTGTTTCCATACGAGTATTTTTTTACTTTTATTTATGAGTTCTTCCTATGAGTGCGAGTAGGGCATGTTTGACAATATTCCCTTTATGGTTTAACTTTATCGGCTTGAAAACATTATCTTATAACATTATTTAATTTTAGCATTTTCAAAATTAATTAATATTTTTAAAAATTTCTCAAAAGATTAGCACTAATTGAAAGCGTTTTTCTCAAACAATGCCAAAATCAATCCACATGTGATGAGTACATGACAAAATTGATCATCCGATTTCATGACAAAATCTCCAATTTCATTGATTGGAACTACACAATTTATTCTTTAGTTACCAAAAATGAAGAGATTCCTTAGATTCAAAAAGGTTTTTTTGGCAAAACTCAATTGATTTTGATTCAGTGACCTACCCCTAAAATGAAAGGGAAAAACAGCAAAAATTAGTGTGATAGCCATGGGCATAGGGGGGACACACCGATCACAGATGGAGGGGGCGATGTTCGCTCATCTCTGCGTCCTACGTGGCCACATTGGACTCCAATATTGTATGACGTAGTACAATAACAACAACAACAACAACAACAATAATTACAACAACAAGGATTTATTCTATTGGGTGGGTCAGCTACATTGATTAGATGACGTCATTACGCCCTATCATGTATTGATTGTTCACGCGAAGGTCTCCCTTGATCAATGCTTGCCAAGTCCTCTTAGGTCTACCTCTTCTTCTAGCACATGCCTATACACGTAAAATAAGGAATGAAGATATCAGAGCTAAAGTTAGAGTGACACCTATTGTAGGAAAAAATTATGGAAAATCGTCTTAAGTGGTTTGAACATTTATGACCTAGGTAGTAACACTTTTTTTTGTACATTGTGTCCTGTCAACTTAATTCAATCAAAAGTTTTAAGCTGAATGATGAAATGTAATTCCATAATAAAATATTGGAGATACATAAAAGATGAACCATATAATTATTGGAAGTAACAGCAGCAGACACATAAAAGATTAACAGATAATGAAATGTAATTCTTTAACGTCTGGAGGGGGTGATCCATATGATTATGATTATTTGGTGATAAAGAAGCTATTTCATTACAACATGCTCCTTTACTTTGTACACACAAACACAATGTTGTGTGTGTTATAGACTACTAGCCAAAAACCTGCAAAATAATCGTTAGATAATCCAAAAGCTCGAGACGCGTAGAAACGGTGACCTCAAGTAATTATTTCCGGTTGGCAAAAAACTCCCCCAAGATATAACGAGCCCTTCGGTGATTTGACGGAATTAAAACTAACGAGAAGAAAAGAATACTCCATTTTCCAACAGAATGTCTAGAGTGAGATTTTGTCCGTGTATCTAGTCCACGCACCATGAAAATACTACGGAGTACTATATGTAGTTTATATTGAAATTTGCACTAAATAGTACTCCCTTCGTTCCCAATAGATCTTCTCATTAGTCTTTTTATTTGTCCATCATAGATCTTCTCATTATCTTTTTTAACAATTAAAATACCACAGCTACCCTCACTTTATTTATTACACCTCACATATCTCATTCAATACACGCCACCCATTTTCATAAAGGGTATTATAGTAAACTTTTACTTTTCTTCAACTCTCTTTAAAAATCACAAAAAGTCAAAACGAGAAGATCTTAAGAGGACAGAGGGAGTACTAAAATATGTCTTTCCCAATGTACGGAGTAATACCTAAAACTTTTTATTCCCTAAATAGTACTTATTTATAGCATCTAAATTCCTATATTGAAAGATAATTACGGCGGTATGAGCGGGAGAATTCAGTTCTAAAATGCAAGCTATAATTTTGGGCGAGGGGTGTTTTTGTATCTTTAGACTAATATTAAATAATTAATAGTTAAATTAAGTATTATTTAGAAAATTTAAAACATTAAATACTATATTCGAAAAAGAGCTACTATAAGTTTCTTATAAGGGCAAAATACAATCTAAGAAAGTATAATGAAAATGAGTTTGCGAGAAGTCCGAGTGTGAAGACCTCAATTTAACCTATATTAATAGCTTTATACAGCAAAAGCTCATTCATGTGCCTAAGGTGCCAACTTTTAAATGCAAGGAATGTTTTTTAGCAAATCTTTTTTAGCATATTAATCGTCTTAGTTTAACTTCATAGAGTTTGTTGAAAGGTAAAGAGTAGGCAGCTGAGACTCTTGAGAGCATTAAGAATATACATGAGTAACAAAAAGCAACACGAAGAAGCATTAAGAACATACCCGAGTAACAGAGAGCAACATGAAGGAGCATTAAGAACATACCTGAGTAACAAAGAGTAATATGAAGAAGCAACATAAAGAAGCATTCCTAGTGGAGTTATTCTTGGTGATAGTCAGTTAAAATCTGTATTTAGGCAAAAGCAACATAAAGAAGCATTCCTAGTGGAGTTATTCTCGGTGATAGTCAGTTAAAATCTGTATTTAGGCAAAAGCAACATAAAGAAGCATTGAGAAGGTGGTTTTGAGTTTCAAGGAAACCAAAACGCCAGAGATTGGAAGAATATTCTGAAACCTCGGGGAAATTCCCTAATCTCAGATTTTCCAATCATGAACGTCACCATTTATAAGTCCAATTCTTCTAGACGATGAAACAAACTAAAACTATTTTGGGTTCTATAATTTATTTCACAAAAACACAGAACCACAGCAAGGATATAAAAAACCAAACACTAAATCAACATGGAACAAATCAATAATATAAAAAACCAATTGTATATTGTGTGTGTGTCACATCCGATGTTGAGGGTATCAAGGCGTTAAAAACCATATCCGAAATAACTTAGTGTATATTAGCTTTGAAGAAAAAAAAGTTCAAATTCTATCGGTTTCATTAGTGAATGGTGATAGCATTTTAAGGAAGCTAAACCATTATGACTAGTACATTGGATCATGACGGAAACGATTTTACAGTTAAGTCTACCTTCATCGAATGATCTTTCTTTTTGATGTTAGGTAATGATGTAGTATTCAGTCCAGCTCATCTGTGGATGATATTACATGTGAAAAAGATGAGAAAGTGGATGTGGCACACCAGATGGAAAGTGTAAAATTTAAGTTGAGAATAACTCTTGATGGATTGTCAAAACAAGGAACCATTATTGCTTTTCTGATGCAAAACCCAGCAAGAGATGCTGGGGTTTTCAAAGCTCAGTTTTTTTGTTATAGATTAGGCAATTAGCACAGGATACCTGAAGTACAAGTTGTGGTGTCATATGGCTGGGACAAAAATAATCTTAGAAAGAATTTTCCATGGAAAGACCGGCATCAATGGATCCTAGGAAGAACAACCTTCTAACTCCACGTAACAGTGGCATTATTCAAATTGTACCTGTCATTGGCTATCTCGTATCCTTGGAAACATTTGTTCAGTACCCGTCCCTAGGGCAGGCGGTCAACTGAGAAATGTAATAGCAATAGGCTTCATTACAAATGTGGAAACAAATCATCGGGTCACGTCTTTCCAGGACAGAGGCCGGTGCATCAACAGCAGAGGCTGGTGCAACAAGCCTCAGGAGTTAGACCATTGTTGTTTTTAGGATTTATAGCAGGCGGTCTTCCCGTATGCCTATCAATAACATTCCAAATTATTTCTAAGATTACTTTCGTCTCAGCCATATGACACCACAACTCGTGCTCCAGGTATCCTGCCCTAATTGCCTCATCTATAACAAAAAGCCGGGTCTTGAAAACCTCAACATCTCTTGTTGGGTTTTGCATCAAAGTAGAGACAATGGTGTCTGGTTTGGGCAATCCATCGAGAGTAGTTCTCAACTTAAACTATACACTTTCCATTTAGTGTGCCTCCTCCACCCTCTCATCTTCTTCACATGTAATATCAATTTCTATCATCCACACACGAGGTCTAACTCCCTTATCAGAATACTACATCATCACCTAACACCAACTTTTCGTGATGCACCATACTTGTAGCTACATTCTCAGTCATGCAAAACCATTTCTAAAGAAGGATCATTGGATTATGATAGACTTAACCATACAATTGTTTCCATCAAGGTTGATCTAGTGTACGAGTCATATTGGTTAGGTTTCCTTAAAATAGTATCACCACTCACTAATAAAACTGGCAGAATTTGAACTTTCCTTTCTTCAAAGCCAATATACACCATGTGGTTCCGGATATGGTTTTTAACGCCTTGATACTCCAACTCTGATTCTGATAGAAGATCCACCTTCACAATAGTAATCCACCTTCTTAATACTCCCTCTGTCCAACTTTAAAGTTCCCGCTTTCTTTTTTGGTCCGTCCACAAATAATGTTGCGATTTCCTTTTTTAGAAACTTTCTTTTGTTAAAAAGACTTAAATACCATCTTTAACTTTAACTTTTCCTCTCTTCTTTTCCTTTCCCCTCTTTTTTTCTTTCTTTTTTTCCTTTTTCCCGTCCGCACATTGGGATTCTTCTCTCCTTTTTCTTGTTCTTCTTTCCTTCTCTCTCTCTCTCTTCTTCTTTCTTCCCCTTCTGATTTTTTCTTACTTTTCTTTCTTCTTCTTTAGATTTTTCCTTTCTTCTTCTTCCCCCCTTCTGAATTTTCCTTTCTTCATCATCATCTGCTTCCGATTTTTTTCTTCTTCTTCCTCTTCTTCCCCGTTTTGATTTTTCAATTCTATTCTTCATCTTCTACTTTTTCTTTTTCCTCTTTTTTCCCCTTTCGATTTGTCCTTTCTATTCTTCTTCTTCTTCATCGTCGGATCTAAGAAAATCGGATCAGATCTGTGAATCGACAAAGAATCATCTTCAGATCTTTTTCATCTTCAGATCTTTTTCATCTTCATCTTCTTTGGAGTCGATTAAGAAATCCGATTCAAATCTTTTTTCGACTCACTCATCGTCGGAATTTCACACTGGCCGGAAATTTGCCGGATTTCAACCGCCGGAATTTCTGTGGAATGATGGGGTTAGGCCGCAGGAACTTGGGACAGCCTCTACAGTCGGCAGTCAATATGGATGGGGGTGTGGGCAAGGTTAAGGGGTATTTTGGGAAAGTCAATGTAAATTTTAACTTTTATTAAACTCCATGCCCGGTCAAAGCGAGAACTTTAAATGTGGACGGAGGGAGTAGTACACTAATTTTTTTTATTTCTAGTACGATCTATCATTTGTTGTTGATCAAGACGTATCTGGCTCGTCACCTGGCTTTGTGGACAAACAAAAGCACGTCAATCTTGTTAAGTTTATGTTTATTTCTCCGTGTTTTATAAGACATCTTATTTTTCTATCCGAATACGTCTTATTTTTGTGTGTAGGATGAACTGCTAGCTCACATTGTGAGATCTTATTATCAAAATCATCTTCCTAAAAGGCCTATAAGACAAGGGACTCCAAAGTGCGTTGTAGAGGAATAGAAAAGTGATAATGCGTGATATTAAAGGTCACTTTTTTTCAATACCTAGAGACAACTTAAGTAAATATGATAATGAAACTGTCTTTTTATAAATAATAATAATAATATTTCTCTTTCTTTCAGGTAGAAAGAGCAATGAAGTAACATCATTAATTTTTGGCCCACAACAACTGACAACAACTGTAAATCAATTGAGGATGAACACAAGTCAATTGAGGACCAAGTACATCTTTCTTAACCCTTGCAGTAGTGACTTTTTAGAGAAGAACGTTATCAAGAAGATATCTTATGCTAACTATGCCATATTGATAGGCGATTGCACGAAAGATTTTAGAGACGGATACCTAAACAAAAAATTTCATGTCTATTGTTTTATTGCCTTCACGTTTGGTTTTAAAGATCTAATATGTTGTGTTAACAAAGTACATTCAAAAAAATAATAAACTAATTGAATGTACCTTGTTAACACAACATATTAGATCTCTAAAATCCAACGTGAAGGCATAAAAACAATAGACATGAAAATTTTTGTTTAGGTATCCGTCTCTAAAATCTTTCAGGCAATCGCCTATCAATATAGCATAGTTAGCATAAGAAATCTCCTTGATAGTGTTCTCCTCCAAAAAGTCACCACTGCAACGGTCAAGAAAGGTGTACTTGGTCCTCGGTTGACTTGTGTTCATCCTCAATTGATTTACAGTTGTTGTCTTTTCGAAATCTGGGAGGCCAAGAACTAATTTTGTTACTTCATTGCTCTTTCTACCAGAAAGAAAGAGAAGTATTATTTTTTTATTTATAAAAAGACAGTTTCATTATCATATTTACTTAAGTTGTCTCTTGGCATTGAAAAAAAAAGTGACCTTCAATATCATGCATTATCACTTTTCTCTTCCTCTACAGCGCACTATGGACTCCCTTGATTTATTGGCCTTTTAGGAAGATTATTTTGATAATAAGATCTCACAATGGGGGCCCCAACAGTTCATCCTACACACAAAAATAAGACGTATTCAGATAGAAAAATAAGATGTCTTATAAAATACAGAGAAATAAACATAAACTTAACAAGATTGACGAGCTCTTGTTTGTCCACAAAGCAAGGTGACGAGCCAGATACGTCTTGATCAACAACAAATGATAGATCGTACTACAAACAGAAAAAAATCTGAGTGTACTATTAAGAATTTTTAACTTAAAAAAACCTTATCCCACATAAATTTAAAAAGTCATTAGTAAAAAAAACTAAGTATAGCATAAAAAAGTAAAACTAAACCAATTGGATGGGTTGTATCGAAGCCTCGAATGGGTGAACTTTTAGTAAAGCCATCGATGCAGCTGCCGACTCAGATGTTGTTGTATCATCAGACTTACTGGAATCTTGTAACGAGGCTGCAATAGCAGCTTCCAAATTAGCCGACTCTTGATCATCCTGTAACTAGGTTGCAATGACCACCATCATCCCCCTAGGTTTAATACCACAATATTGAAATTCAACTTCTTGCAAAAACGAAACAAACCCTTCGTACGACTAGTCTCATAACCATAGTGAATGAAAACCACTTATTATTAAAAAAATGCCCAGTTCATCCAGTTGCATTACACCTACAAGTGGGGCAGCTCGTAATGAAACCTCCATTGCATCTAACACTCGAGATGCTTCTTTATAATATCACGATCTTGTAACGAGGCAGCAATGGCAGCTTCGAAATCAGTAGATTGTTGGTCACCATGAAGGAGCTTTTTGGCACAATTTTGTGGATTATTCTAACCAGATGAAAACATTTATATCAACTTGGCTAAAAAAATACATTTAATAACAAAAACAAAAAGAAAGAAAAGAAAAACCCGTACCTCACAAAGGAGTTCGTGTCCAGCTACTTCTGGAGCAGGGTGACGACAACAACGATACCTGCACCTAACAGTTGAGGGCTGTTCTGTACCATTATCATCACCACCACCAACACCCATATAGGTTTTAGTTAAAAAGCAAAGAAAAAAAAAGTAAAAAAGCTGAATTACAGACTAAGTTCAAACTTACAACATACATTAACAAAGGCATATATATAAGACTAATCAGGCATATAATAAAACAAACCTGCAATAAAAAAGTAATCAACATTCTGTTTTGAAATAAAGCAGCAATATATATAGATCTTCTCAGAAAATTTCTAGCAAAATCCCGTGAAGTAAACCAGACTAATCATATGCAATAAACAGATCGGAATCAGCAATCAACATGCTGTTTTGAAACAAAGCAGCAAAATAGATCTTCTCAGAAAATTTCAAACAAAATCATGTAACAAAACCAGTCCAATCACGCACTAAACATATGAATCAAGGTGATTCAAATGGATTAATTGTTCCACTTCCAATTGTTAGCCGATATAAAGAAAAGGAATATATCATTCAACATAACGGGTCGTCACCTTCAAATTGCAGGACTAAAATAGGGAAATGACTTGTTAATTTGCAAAACTTGCGACCAAACTAGCGGAGATAGAGCAAATCGGGGCCCCGATTTGATTGTATTTACACATACATATACAGATTTTCATGTGTTGCTTTATGAGTACTAACATGGACTGGACTGGACTGTTCTTAAACACTCTTTAAAGAAACAAAAGCTTTTTTGGTTTGACATGTGAAAAAAATTTGGTAATTTAATTTCTTTTTTTTCTATACTTTATTGATTTATAATTATAATAAGACATTGAAATTCTGATCTGATCTGATTGTAGCTATAATTAAATTTATTTCTGATTTGATATGATTTAATCTGATTTGATCTTATATGTTCTGATCTAGACTGATCTGGTCTAATTATAATAAGAATAAGTAATAAGCAGAACAATAAGTTAAACGGAACGCTGTCTTAGTGGGTGTTTCTATGTGCTGGTACTTATTGGCTTATTGCTCATAAATAGTTTTTAACTTATAAGTTGCTTATAAGTCAAATATTCTTTTATTGAAGTAAAATAATTTAAATGATAGATAAGTCACTTGGAAATATTCAAAAATGGTGAGGACAATTTACTAAATAATCTTGTCAAAACGGAGAAATAAAAAAACCAGCTTAATAATAAATAACTAATAAGATCCTTTTTTTCTTATAAACAGATTATAAGTCAACTTATAAACATACAAAAACATATCATCAACTGACTAATAATTTAAAAACTACTTATAAGCAATTTTGACCAGGTTATAAGCACATAGAAACACCTACTAAATCTTTGAAACCCAAAACGAATGCAAGAATACAATGCCCGTGATAATTTTTTTAGGGTAACCTTAATGCCATCAGCTACCAATATAGCAAAATCACCATAAGGCATCTCTTTGATGAGGTTCTCCTCCAAGAAGTCACCACTGCAAGTTGACTTGTGTAACACAAAGGTCGTTTCAACTAAAATAAAGATGGAGTACAACTAATATAAAACAAATATGTGAAATGAGAATTTTGTTACTCATAAATGAATATTCATCGCGAATGTACGAAAATATCGTTGGTTGTACATGAACAGCTCAGTGCATACTGCATAAGCATAAATTGCTCAAAATTAAACATTGATTTTTACAGCAATGAAATTTTGCTTATTCTCACATCTCACAATTTATTAAAAGCAGAAGAAAGAGGATATATTTTCTCCCAAATTCTTACAATCACATTATGAAATGAACTGCTTTATGTACATATACATCACTTGGTCTACACAGTCATACCACATTTTTTGTTACACAATGATGAGTTTTTTTTTTCTTTCAAATGTTTATGTTACAAAATGTTGTACAACTTGGTGTACACCAAGTGCAATGCACACATACAATTTTTCGTACATAATATACTACTCCATAACTTTAGCTGGAAAAGCTCGTCGGAACCTGGTTAAAGATGAGGAAACCTTTGGGGAGTCTCTATTAGAACGGTTTGGTTCCTGATCTCATCATCGTGCAAAATTCTTCGTAGTTAATTCTCCCATCCTAATGAAATTTTTGAGAAGAGAAAAATCAGCATATGATAGTTTTACGCAGATTGTAAGTTTTGAGTCTCAAAGAGACGAAAAAACTTACATGGTCAGTGTCCACTTCGGCTATTATTTCCAGTATACCCGCTGCGTCAGCTATTCCGTGTTCCTTCATCGCAGTCTCCAGTTCGTCTCTTGTGATGAATCTATAACAATGTTCAAGAAAAGTTTGAGCATTTTAGATTATTCTCTTTGAAGCAGATTAGCAGCAAGTTAAACATGGACATTCTCACATACTCCCTCAATTTCATATCTATTAACGCTTTCTTGATACATTCAAGAAAGAATGAACCTAGACATACTTAATGTCTACATTCATCCATTTTGTTTGGCTTACATTCCCTACAATCACAAGCTTGAGAGTTTTCCCTGAGTTGATTCATGCATCAAAACATTACCAAGAAATCACGAATTCAAACTTCACTACCCACAAAATTTTAGAAAGAATTAAAATTCAAATATAAGACTCGAGCAAAAACAAATCTCATCTACTGACAAGAAGGCACACTAGTTTAAAACATTTCATTGGCATACAACTACAAATTTGTTGAATTTCAGGTTGGATTTGGTTCCTTAACATCGAGGATATGCATTTACTTTTTTTAAATTTATTAATTTCCTTAGGTGAGAAGATTCATGATGCATCTCAAATCAATGATAGAAGGATTCCTGCAGCAGATACTACGTACCCACTATTGTCCGTATCGAAATACTGAAATGCGTTGTATAGATTTTCTTCCCTTTCTAGCTTGTGCTTGTGCATTGTAGCGGTGATGAACTCGATGTAGTCAATTGAGCCATTTCCATCTACATCAGCCTACACAAGTACAATAAGTTACTAGTTGTGAAGATAATGAAATTGCTTTTAAATTGGAAGATTTTGTTTTTGACAGTTAACTTACGGCTTCTACCAACTGCTTGGCTTCATCCTCGGTGAGCTTCGACCCAAGTTGAGCCAATCCTGTCCTTAGTTCATCATATGTGATTGTGCCACTGTTGTCTGTGTCTATATTCGCAAACATTGCTTTCAATCCATGAATTTCTTCTTCTGAGAGATTTTCTGCAATCACCTGGAATCCAATAAAAAGAACCACTTAAGTTGGCCGTTGGCAAGAACTATTTGACTAAAAGTACTGAATTTTGGTTGTAAACGAAGCGGATAATAAAGGAAATGCAAATGGTAAAATCAGTTTCAACCAAGGTTCAGTAGATTCTCAAGTTTACCTTGAGGGCGAGTTTTTTAAGTTTGTTCATTGCTCTGAACTGCTTCATTCTTGAGAGGACAGCGCTATCTATTGGTTCATCAGATGCTTCTCCACCTTCCCTTATCCATGGGTGCTCTGAAAATAGTCCCAGATATTAAGGTTTCAAAATTCAATGAGAAAATCCTCTGGCTATCATTCAATAAAACAAAAGACCCATAGTCACATAGATAAAAGAAACCATGGAATCGATTCTGTAAAGCATACCAAGAACCTGAGCAGCAGTAATGCGACTTTGTGGGTCACGCGTTAGCATCCTTCGCACCAAGTCCTTGGCACTGCTTGATATGGAAGGCCATGGTTTTGTTCCCAAGTCAAGTTCTTCTTTTTGTATTGCCTCAAATATCCCCCTCTCGGTTTCTGCACAAACCAAATCCATAGAGTTATTAAACCATAGATTCATTACTCCATCATGGAGGTGGAGCTCGCTATGAACCATAGTTGTTCCATGTTGCATGTTAGAGACAGAATATTCAATGACAATTAGTGTTCTAAATTCACTTTAGTATGTGTTGCTTATGCTATCTATTTTAAAAATGTGTATATGTTGTTTTCTTTACATTATCAAAAATTTCTTTGAACTTGCGACTATTTGCTTAATTACAAAAAAGTATAGTGTCTTAATTCCAAATATATTGGAATATTAATATTGCAAGGTTAATAGCAAAGTAATGTAAATGCACTTAAAAAATATTTCTAAGAACTTTGAAATAAACAGTGCACTATGAACTATAGAAACCTAATTTTGAATTTTGGAGCAACTCTCTCCAGAGCTAAGTTTCTTTTCTACCCAAAAGCAATAACTACTTATTTATCTGCCTAACAATACATGCTAAACAAGATCAAGAAGATTAATCTCTATCTTTGAACAAGACAAGAGAAAGGTCATCTGCATTTACCGTCCCAGAACGGAGGAACGCCACTGAGTAAAATATACAAAATCACGCCGGCACTCCAAACATCTGCTTCCTTCCCATACCTCCTTTTCAGTACTTCAGGAGCAACATAGTATGCACTTCCCACCAGATCCTTGTACACCTTTCCTGCAAAAAGTTCATCATGAAAATTGGTAAGCTTACAATGAAACACTTTTTGCAATCAAAATGCCCTTAAGAATGCAGAGCAAGTAATTACATTACTGTTAGAGTATATAACAATCATTCCTGGGCCACAACCACAAGCTTGAGCTTTTAGTTGAGTTGGTTCCTTAACATGGTATCGGAGCCTCATTGACTAAGAGGTCACGGGTTCGAAACTCAGCGCCATCCAGTTTAAAAAAAATTAAGATTTGATGACCATGGTATCGGAGCCTTGATGACCAAGAGGTCACGAGTTCGAAACTCACCGCCACCCAGTTTAAAAAAAATTAAGGTTTCACGTGCAAGGCTCAAAGAGGTCACGCCTGCACGTGAGGGGGCGTGTTAGAGTATATATAACAATCATTCCTGGGCCACAACCACAAGCTTGAGCTTTTGGTTGAGTTGGTTCCTTAACAATTACAACAAAACATCTGGTTCTATAGAGTGTCAGATTTAACAACATTAACACTTCAAAAGGAAAACATCATGCAACAACAATCACACCAAATACAATAGATTCCCACAAAAAAATAGGGTCTAACAAGGGCATGTGTACACAGAACATACCCCTACTTGGAACTTCTTTATTTCAAAGTTGGAAACAGAGAGACCGTTTCCAAGAGAGGCAGAGACTCAAATACAGGCACTCAAACTAATTAAGAGCACAAAAACATGAAGCACGCATACTGACACAAGCAACTAGACCCAAAGTAAAAAACATCTAATGTACAAGTTATACTCAAGGGTAAAAACTCACCAGTAACTATAAATTAAGGTCCAAAGGTCTATCAAACTAATCCAATCTTAGATAACATTTCAATCAAAGATCATATCCTCCCTAAGGTCCTGAAATTGCAAGTCTTGTCCAATTGCATCCTTCCCACTCTTCCTAGGTCTAGCTCTAACCCTAATAGTTGATAATTGAAGCTGATAATTGAAGCTGCAGATGGATTCTTGGGAAACATACCTTCTTCAAGGAACACAGAGAGGCCAAAATCAGTGGCCTTCAAAGCAGAATTCACACTCTTATCAGACAGCAAGAAATTTTCCGGCTTCAAATCGCGGTGCATCACCCCCATGAAATGGCAAGTATTAACAACACTGACAATATCCCTACAAACAGAGGCAGCTGCCCTTTCACTGTAGTGACCCTTGGCTATGATCCTGTCAAAAAGCTCCCCGCCAGCACAAAGCTCCATCACAAGATGCACCGAATCACTGTCCTCATAAGCCCCTTTGAACTCCACAATGTTGGGCTGACCAACCAGGTGCTGCATGATCTTGATCTCCCTCCTCACATCATCTTTGTCCCCTTTGGTCACAAGCTTCTTCTTAGAAATTGACTTGCAGGCATAGAGTTTGCCAGTTCTGATCTCAGTACAGAGATAGGTCACCCCAAATTGACCCTTCCCCAGTTGTTTTCCCAGACTGTAATGTAACCTAACATCTTCATAAGGCTTGCCCAGAATGGATTCAGACTTGGACGCCCGCGGCCGGGAAGGGAATCGGTGTTCCGGGCGCCCGGTGTGAGCCTGATGGGTCGATCTGTGGTTGTGCCCGTTGGCCTGTGGTTCGCCGTGATTGTGTCTGCTTGAACGGTTACCCATCAAGATTCAAATTTAGCAAAAGCCCAGAGTGAGATTCTCTCTGAAAGAACAAAAAAAAATTTGTTTTTATGAAGAAATTCACAGTGGGATCGATCAAGTCAGCTTGGAAAGACTCGATCTTGAAGGTTGAAACTTGAAAGAGAAGAACAGAACAATAAAAGAGAAGAGGGGATTGAACCGATGGATGGCGGAGGGATTTACGGGCCGGAGAATCGGACGCGGAGAGTGCGCTTTGGAGAAAAAGAAAAAAAACGCGGTCGCACATTCTGCTCCTTTTCTCCCAGGTTTTTGAATTTCTAAAAAATTGCAACTGGCCCCTTATCAATGGTCATTGGGCTAGCTCGGGACGGTTCGAGTTTTATATTGTTCCGCATTTTATCCTTTTTTTTCCAAATGATTTGAAACGATTCAAGTGACACGTTTATCCCTCTTTGTTTATTAATATTCGGGATCAGAGTAAAACAGAACAAGTTTGGGTTGTCTTACTTTGTCGTTATTCGAAATTTGATATAAAAATATAAAATACATAAGGAAGAGGCATCTCACCTTGACTTGCAAAGTAATGAAAAAAATGAAATAGTCCTTCTGTCTCTGAAAACTTTTCTCCTTTCTTTTTTTATTTGTTTCAAAAAAAAATCTCATTTCTAGTAAAAACTCACTTTTCCCCTTAATACTTGTTAACCTGTCTATCACATCACATCTATTTATTATTAAAATACTCATCAAATCTTACTTTTACTCATCACATCCAAGGATATTTTTGGAAACAAACACAAAAATATACTCCCCTTAAAATTTAAAAAAATAAAACCTTCCTTTTTAGGGACGAAGAGAGTATTTATTTAGAATATTTTTATAAAGCCAAAATAATAAGGAAACATGAAAAATGTTACAACATACGTCAAAAGTCAAGAGTATAAACTTCATTTTAACTATGAGCCACAAATTGGGGTGGGCCGAGTTAGAATGGTCTGGATTTTTTGGTGTTCCGATCTTAGTCCATTTTTTAGATTATTCGAATATGGATATTCTTTTATCTATTTTGAAAAAAAATTGTGATGTCTTTTTGTGTGTTATATCATTATATAAATAAGTAAATATATACATATACGGGACAACGGGATGAAACGACAAAATATTTATGTGTCACGGTCCTGTCCCATTTTAAAACGGTTCAGAAGGGGTTCGGGACAAAATTTTGTCATCCCTAACAAAATAGAACATTTTAGGGACAGGACCGAGATATTTCGGATCGGAACAACGGTTTCGATGAGAAGAGAAAATGGAAAAAAAAGAATGTTGGGTGAAAGAAAAATGATAGGAAAACGAATATGGAGGAAAGGGTGAGAAAAAAGTTGGTGTTTGAATTGATAAACAATGGTAAGGAAATTGTATGAAAAAAGAAAAAAAAAAGTTTTTTTAACATAGAAGGTTGAAAAGTTTTTACGCAAGTTCTTGGTTAAATTTTGTTTTCTCACTATTTTCTTTGTAAATCAAACATGATAAAATTTATAAAAATGTATATTTTCTCACTTAAATTTATCTTTTTCTTCATTTTCATATCATCCAAATGTAAGCTTAAGCCCAACTAAGGCTGAGGGCATGAGAGAGACAATTAGGAGAAGCACGATGGGAAGACAATGTGGCACGTGGGAAGAAAGGGAAACACCGCCCCCCTCATGTAGGAACGGGAAATGTGGGTTTTCTCTTCCGTTCGTAAGTCTGATTTTGTAAAAGATACTTTTATTAGATCTTAAAAGTATGTTTCGACTAAAATTTATACTTTTAGATAGACATTATTCATTTTTAAAGGTTAAAATTTAGTAATTTAAAACAAAATATATCCCAAATTATCGAACTAATATGTTCTCATGCATTGCACAAGTAAGATATTATGTTATGCAGTAACTATAAAAAAAAATCATCACAAGTTCGTGGATTGAAAATGAGCCGACGTCGTAATAGTGACCTTATTGCTTCGTCATTTTCAAATAGACATCATATACTCCGTAAGTTGTAACCTGGAGGAGTAATAGTATTATTTGGTGACAAACATTTAAATCTTACCTAATATGCTATAATTAGGTCTTGAAAACAAATATACTTGCTTTATTTTTTCTCCAAAATTTAATTCCAACACCTACTCTATATCTGACAAAGAAATATTGAAGAATACTTTAGAGTACACAAAAAATATTGTAATAAAAGTTTTGGATACAAAAAAATCATGACAAATCCTTACACTATTCAAGGAATTTGGTAGGAAAAAAATGGGTTTTCCTCGTTTTTCTCACCAAAATGGAACGAATTTGATTTTTGATCCTATTAGTCTATTTTTTCATTTTCTTTTCATTTTATTTTTCTTTTCTTTTCCTTCTAAAGCAAACAAGAAAAATGTTTTTTTTTCATTTTTTTCATTTTCCTATCCATTTCCTTGAACCAAACATAGTGTTAGGAATTCCATTAGGAATTGAAAAGATTCTCCAAAACTGATTATTATGAAATGGAAGAATTCTCAAAAAAAAAAAACATTCTTCCATTCGGAGCATTGTTCTTTAAATTTGAAATAAAAGATGTATATTTAAATATGTAAACATTTTTTTCAATTGAACGAAATCATACATTGTTTATACTTAAATTTATATTTTTAGATAGTATTCAATTTAAAATTTTAAAAAAAAGTAATTCAAATTTAGTATGTTCCTAACAAAATTTAGATTGATGTCATATATTTTCGTGCATCGCACGGGTGAAATACTAGTAAATGTTATTTAGAGTAAATTGTTTGTTTTTCTACAAGAGGCGAAGGCCTTGTTTTGAAAATAGTATTTCGGGTTACTTTTGCATCTTTGACTGGTTTAGTTTTTTTTGACTAATCGAACAACTAAAACTATTGTTTGGCTAACGGAATTTTCACTTGGAAGTTTGATTCGAAAAGCCGAAAACTGAAAAGTCAAGGGGGTAGCTTTTGGACTTGGTTGTTACGAAAATTAATTTTTTTGATCATTTTTTGAAAGATATTCAATATGTAAAAAATAAAAGTTACAAAAAATTAAAATTAAAATTTAAAACTGAAAATTTATCAAACAAAATATAAAATTTTTAAATCTTGAAACAACTATTTTCAAACAGTTAATTTTACCAAACATTTTTTACAATCAGCAAACACGTTCAGCCGATCAAACCAGCTAAACTGACAGAAACAGCCAAGCGAGCCAACAGCCGACTTTCAAACAAGGCCAAAATTTTTTGACTTCTCTCAACATTTTAACTTGCTAACTTCAGGGCCTATGCCATTTAGTGGGCTGGGGACATTAATTGATATGGGCTAGGGAAGTAACCCAATTGGGCTGAAATAGATTGCCACGGGCACGGAGTACTTTGAGTGAAAAAAACATCAAATGGGCTACTTCTCCCTACTCAAAGTGTGCATTTACACTATGTGTGTGTGTGTGTGTCTAATGGTGTAGAGTCATGCTAAAATAATCTCAAATTTGGCGTTACGAATTTATTTATACTGGTGGATTGATTGATTCTGAACTCAAAGAACTACTCAATATATATATTTTAGGTATTAACAAATTTACAAAATCGGAAGGATTAGAAGAAACTGAAAAAACTAAAAGAAATTAGAAGAAACTGAAAGGACTGAAAAAACTGGGAAAACTTTAAAAAATTGGAAAACCTAAAAAAAATTTAAAAAAATTATTTTTAGTGTACTTTTATATTACTCCCTCCGTCCCGGAAAACATGAGAGTTTTTATTTTGAAGAGGGATTTAATGGGAGTGTTGAATTTCCAAAAATGTCCTTTGATGTGATGAATAAAAGTAAGATTTGATAAATAGATTATTAGTAAAAAGGTATGATTTGATATGTAGGGTATGAAAAAGTAGGAGGTAAAAGTGACTTTTTAATAGAAATGAGAAGTGTTTTTTGGGACGGATGAAAAAAGAAAAAAGAAAAGTTTTCAGGGACGGAGGGAGTATTTTGATTCTAATTCTTGTTATAAATTACTCCGTATTATTATCATCATCATCATCAGCATCATCACCTTACCTTAATGAATGCCTTTAAAATAAAAAAAGTATTGTTATTTTTCAAATACAAAAAAGTACTATACTTTTGTCAAAAATAGCTTAAAATCTTAAATTACTATTTTTTTTCTATAAAAAAAGTTCGTTGTCAAAATAGTAAAAAGAAATGCGTATAAAAGAAAGTAACACTTTTAGTTTTAAGTTGTCCTAAATTAAATTTCAAACTTTTGTATAGGAGAAAAATATTATATTACACACAAATTACTCCGTGTATTTTTAGAAGCCAAATATTATATATATATATATATATATATATATATATATATATATATATATATATATATATATATATATATATATATATATATATATATATATATATATATATAATATTTGGCTTCTAAAAATACACGGAGTAATTTGTGTGTAATATAATATTTTTCTCCTATACAAAAGTTTGAAATTTAATTTAGNAGGAGCCAAATATTATATTGATAATCATGTATATCGCGGCATTGTATGTACTTATTTTAAAAAACCGTTGTAACCAATAATTAAAGTCCTATATTCCTTTAATTTCAACAAAAATTAATGTCACACATTGATATTCATACTTTATTTAAAAAGACATGGAGTCAACCTTTATTTTTCCCGCCCATGCGTTTTTACATTAATAGATGGTAATTGTTCACTTAAAATGGTAAGTTGCGATATAATAATAAATATTAAAAACTTACGCATGTGCTTAATTTTCCATGCGTTATTACATTTACAAAAATGACAATTATTCACTTAAAATGGTAATTTTTATTATATTAACAAATAGCAATTGTTCACTTAAAATGGTAAGTTGCCAAAAATATAATAATAATTATTAAAAACTTGCGCATGTGCTTAATTTTCCATGAGTTATTACATTTACAAATGGCAAGTTAATTATTATGAAGTTAAAATTAATATTAGTTTTTACACTCAATGCCTTTAAAAAACGTGAAATTATAAATCTAAAAATTAATTATTACGTAATATTATTAATCTTAAAAAATTAATCTAAAAAAATGGTTTAAAAGCTATAAATACAGTTCCTTTTTTTATCACACTGAATTTATCAATTCGTATGTAGTGTACTATATGTACAATTTCGTACATTATTTTAACCTCTTTTTTTGTGTAGGGGCGTTCAGAATTTCTTCCTTTTTTATCACACGGTATTTTAATACCGTAACTGTCATTTTTATACACCCAATTGGAAATAATTAATAAAGATAAGTTATACAATTATACACTCAAT